ATACGGGATTGATTAAGTCCTTGCCATCGTGGTTCATCCGATGAGATCATCATGGAACATGTGGGATCCAACATGGGTATCCAGATCCCGCTGTTGGTTATTGACCGGAGAGTCATCTCGGTCATGTCTGCATGTCTCCCGAACCCGTAGGGTCTACACACTTAAGGTTCGGTGACGCTAGGGTTATAGAGATATTAGTATGCGGTAACCCAAAAGTTGTTCGGAGTCCCGGATGAGATCCCGGACGTCACGAGGAGTTCCGGAATGGTCCGGAGGTAAAGAATTATATATAGGAAGTGCTATTTCGGCCATCGGGACAAGTTTCGGGGTCACCGATATTGTACTGGGACCACCAGAAGGGTCCCGGGGGTCCACCAGGTGGGGCCACCTGCCCTGGGGGGGCACATGGGCTGTACGGGGTGTGCCTTGGCCTATATGGGCCAAGGGCACCAGCCCCAAGAGGCCCATGCGCCAAGAGAAGAGGGAAAGGAAGAGTCCTAAAGGGGGAAGGCACCTCCGAGGTGCCTTGGGGAGGAGGGACTCCTCCCTTGGCCGCACCCTTCCTTGGAGGAAGGGCCAAGGCTGCGCCCCCCCTCTCCCTTGGCCCTATATATAGTGGGGGAAGGGAGGGCAACCATACCTAAGCCCTGGCGCCTCCGTCTCCCTCCCATGACACATCTCCCTCCTCCCGCAGCGCTTGGCGAAGCCCTGTTGGAATCCCGCTACTTCCACCACCACGCCGTCGTGCTGCTGGATCTCCATCAACCTCTCCTCCCCCTTGCTGGATCAAGAAGGAGGAGACATCGCTGCTTTGTACGTTTGTTGAACGCGGAGGTGCCGTCCGTTCGGCGCTAGGATCATCAGTGATTTGGATCACGATGAGTACGACTCCATCAACCCCGTTCTCTTGAACGCTTCCGCGCGCGATCTACAAGGGTATGTAGATCCGCTCCTCCCTCATTGCTAGATGACTCCATAGATTGATCTTGGTGACACGTAGGAAAATTTGAATTATTTCTACGTTCCCCAACAGCTATCACATAGTTGCTTATCTTGCTTAGCATAAGTTGTTGGTGCACATAGGTGAGCCTAGTTGTTTTAGGTTTTGTGCTTGACAAATTAACCGCTAGGTTTATTCCGCATTTGTTCAAGCCTAAACCGTAATTATTTTAAAATGCCTATTCACCCCCCCCCCCTCTAGGCGACATCCACGATCTTTCACCGTCTCCACTGAGTTATATCTCACCTTATATTCAACAGAAGACACACACAACATTATCATCTTAACCCAATCCTCATGGAATCCCAGCTTCAACAATATTGCTTCCAGGAAAACCCACTCAACTCTGTCATAGGCTTTATGCATATCAAGTTTCACCGCACACCAACCATCTTTGCCCACCTTTTTTTGTTTTATTGCATGTAAACTCTCGTAAGCTATTAGCACATTATCTGTAATGAGTCGACCAGGAACAAAGGCACTCTGGGTAAGGCTAATGATCTCTGGGAGTAACACCCTGAGTCTCGCAGCTATCATCTTAGAAATTACCTTGTATACCACATTGCATATCAATTCCACTTATTCATACTCCCTCCGGTCCTTTTTACTCTGCATATTAGGTTTGTCCGAAGTCAATCTCATTCAACTTTGACCAAGTTTATATAAAAAATTATAAACATTCACATAACGACACCAATATCTTTAGATTCATCTTGGAATATATTTTCATATTATATTTATTAGATAGTATAGATGCTAATAATTTTTAATATAAATTTGGTCAAACTTAGTAAAGTTTGACTTTCGGCAAAACCAATGTGCAGAGTAAAAAGGACCGGAGGGAGTACTTCCTTAGAAACTTAATTATTTTGATTTTGTCTTAGTTTTTATTTCATCATCTTTCTTCTTGAGCGTAATCACTAATTCATTTTTTCATAGAAAACTTTATTATTTCGGTTGATTTAGTTTTTACTTTATTTTCTTTATTCTTTAATGGTAATACCAATGCCACTACTTCTTTTATTCTTAGCAAACTTTAAGTTGTTGTGAAAAGTCCATTGTAATATGCTTATTCTTGCTTATTATAAAAAGCACTTTTTTTATGTAAACTGTTGCAAAAAAATCATTATTTGTTTTATTATTTTTCTTTTTTCTCAAAGGCTAATACCAATGCCAAGAATTCATTATTTCTTAAAGAACTTCATTATTTTTATTTTGCTTTATTTTTTTCTTCTTAAAGGGTAATCGCAAAACCAGTAATTCATTATTTCTTTGAAAACTTTATTAGTTTGTTTTTCTTATTTTTTTTATTTCATTTTTTTTATTTTTAGTGGTAATACAAATGTCACTTATTCTTGCATTTTAAAAGCTTTTTTTTTAAATTGTGCACAGTTTTTTTATTTTTCTTCTTCTTAAAGGATTACCAATACCACTAAAACATTCGTTCTTAGAAAAATTATTTATTTTGTTTTTCTACGTTCTTTCTTCTTAAAGTGTAATACCAAAGCCACTAATTCATTACTTAGAAAACGTCATTTTAGATATACGTATTTTTATGTATAAGTAGAAACACAAGTGCTCATATGTGTGTAAATTATACTATGGTGCTAAAATTGCATTGTTCTATGCTTATTATTTGCGTATTAGAAAATGTGCATTTTCAATGCATAGTTAAGTGCAAGTTTAAGTTTTACTTTTTCTTTTCTTTTTAAGGGTAATACCAATGGCACTAGTTCGTTCTTTCTATGGAAAACTTCATTCTTTTGATTTTTAGTTTTTATTTCATTTTCTTTCTTCTCTAAGGGCAATATCAATGTCACTAATTCATTCTTTCTAAGAAAAAAATTGCAAAAATTTCAGTATTATATAATTACTAGCAAGATGCCCGTGCATTGCACGGAACATCAAGGTGCACCTTTTTTTATAAAACACCTATTGTGATTGACCCATGCGGGAGTAATCCCATGTGTAAAAACTAATGATATCTCGAGAAAGAGGAGAGATAAGGTGAGGAGGAATGGGGCGTGATGGTGATTGATGGTCGGACCGAGCGGAGGCATGGGGATGGACGACGCCGGCAGCGGCCACCATGCCAGATTGTTCCAGAAGCTTCCTTTTTTAATTGCTCAACAATGAGGTTGTGGGAGATAAGGATGAACGAGGGAAGGCCTTATCTGCAAATATAGAGAGAGGTGCGGGTATCTTTTTGCAAAATTGCCATAGTTTGCTTTCTATCCATCAGATATAGATCGGTCTATATTGCAAGATGGCAGACACACCATCATCACCAACTCGGTTTTTTATAAAAGTAGAGATTCTGGCATATATAAAAAGCACAATTTATGTGTAAAATGTGTGCTAGTATTGTTTCAATTTATTTTTCATTGTCTTTTTTATGGATAATACCAATAGCCCTAACTCATTCTTCTTTAAAAACTTCATTTTTTTACTTTTATTTATTTTTTTCTAATATATGTACATCTACTACCCCTACAAAAGCACTAGAGGGGGCAAACACAAGTAATACGCACCATCACATTTTCAGATTGAACGCCCCGGATTATTTCCATGTTTGGCACCAAGCTACCAATCCATGTTTTAGCGTTAAGCATGTCCTGAAGCACTCACCGACGACTCTCGCCTCCCAATACTGACACTAATTGTCCCCCCTCGCTGCGGCTCCCCCATCTCCCACAACCGCAACTTCCCAGCGTCACCTCGCCATCGCACGCACCAGTCAACTCGCACGTACCACCACTCCTGTCCGGCTGGAGATCGCCGTCGTACGCGCTGTCATTTGCCCGACCAGCCGCCGCACGCACCTCTTCACCTCTTCGGGACAACAGCCTGTCGGGCCGGAGTTCCTCGCGTCAACGTCGATAGTTGTACTGCCCGCGCCTCCAAGATGCCCGACCAGATGTCCTCGCCGCCTGCCAACCTCATCTCGACGAATCAGTTCGCCGCCGACGAGAGGCGTGTGGCAGCTGAGCCACCGCAGCCGGGGACGTGGATGCACATTCTGTTGATCAGGGACGCCATGTCCGATTATGCCAACCCCATGATCTGTTTTGTATTTCACCCCATATGGACTTTGAGTAATAAAGATTGGTTTAACCCCTAAAAAAGTAGGTTGTAGCAGTGACAACTATGTGCAGTCTGACAATTGGTGCCTTTTTTATGTTGTTATTGGATTAGAGGGTTGTAGGCTGCTTCAGCCCAGTTAGTGTTTTTGGGCTTCTAATCGTTTTTGTGTGCAAATGTATGAGTTGGGTTGTGTGAGGAAATCGACTGAATAAAAATAAAATCAGTCAGTCAATTTTTGTAGTATATGATTTTTTTTGTTCTCACTTGTCGTATTGAATGGTAGATGGAAAAATGACTGACCCAAAATATTTTCCAGTCACTTAACCATTATCTGGTCCTATGTAGTACTCCATCCGTTTCTTCTCCGTCGCATATAGATCTATTTTAAGTCAAACTACATATGGGTTGACCAAAATTATATTAAAAATTATTCAACATCTACAGTACTCCTACTAAAGTATATACTCCATATGAAAATTAATTTCATGATCCATCTAATGATATTGATTTCTTATTGTCAATGACGATATTTGTTACTGAAATATTGCTCAAACTTTATAAAGCTTGACTTCAGACAAATTTTATATGCAGACTAACAAGAAACAAAGGGAGTAATATGAATAAAGAATAACTACAACCAAAGAATCCCGGCACAGTCAACACAACACACACATAATTAAAACACCTGTTACGAAAAAAGAAACAACAGATGACAACACATTGCACGAATGTACAGTAGAACACATCTACCCAAGAACAAATTACACTGCTGATTTTCTTTTGTACGTAATCATTGGGTTTTTTGAGATAGTCCTAGCGAGAGGGCATGGTCTCTGACCGTCAGATCAACGCATAATATCGATCGGACGACGACGGTTAGAGAACGGTCCCGGCGCATGCAATGAGCGGAAACGTTTCAGGGATCCCTCTCGTCGTTTCTCCAGCTGCCCTTCATCTTGGGCCCCGTGGGGCCTTCCCCGACCAGCAGCTTGTTCACTAGCTGAGCCAGCCGCTCCTTGATGGCGCGCGGCAGGATCCTCGCCGCACGGTTGATCTCGCGGCCTATGTCGTACTCCTCCCTCGGCCCCCACCCCCTCTCGAACCCGAGCCACGCCGGCTCGGCCACCTTCCCGGCAGCGCCGAGGTACTCCGCCGACACCAGCTCGCACCGCCCGCCGCCGGTGTCCAACCTGCTCCCCTTGGCGCAGTCGTTCCTTATCCCGACCCCGAGCTTCGAGTCCCCCTGCAGCACCATCCCCTCCCTGGGGTAGAAGGCATGGCCGTGGCGCGACGCGTACGCCACCGGCCGGCCGTCGAGGTACTCCAGCTGCGACGCGTCCGCCCAGGCGCCCGTGCTGTGCTGGGAGAAGTACATCCGGAGGAGCTCGCCGGAGAAGTTGCTCACGCGCAGCGTCAGGTGCTCCCAGTCGCCGACGTGCTCGCCGATCATGCCGAGCGGGATGGTGAGGGGCCCGACCTTGGCCCGCGCGGGGCCGTTGAACGGGTAGAAGAAGAACAAGGCGAGGTCCGTCGCCGTCCCTCCCAGCATCGGCTTCGCCTGCACGTACGCCTTGGCGCCGGCAAGGTCGCCCTTCTTGACCCGCTCCTTCTGGCCGGCGTCCGCCGGCAGGTCCAGCCAGTAGGCGTCGTCGTTGCCGCCGCCCTGCGGGAGGTTGGACCCGTCGGCGGCCACGGGCGTCGGCGTCGGGTTGCCCTTCTGGTACAGCAGCGCGCCGTTCTCGAAGAACCACGTGACCGACGAAGGGAGATACGGGTCGCTGGGGTGGAGGTACACGTGCGGCGAGTAGGCCGCGAGGACGGCGTTCAGCTGAGGCAGGTCGGGCATGCACGACGTGTAAGCCGCGCTGTTGTTCTTGAGACACGCCAAGGCCGAGGCGCTCGCCGGCGCGGCGTTGCTTCGTGCAAGGAACGTGCCGGTGTGCACGCCGCGGGCGTCGATGCCGCGAACCGCGGGTCTCAGGCCGGTGGCGCTGAAGCCGTCCTTGTCGCTGCCCCACACCGACTCCTCGGCCTCGCACGCGTCGGTGAAGTCGGCGCGGACGCACATGACCTCTCCGGGCTGCGGCTTATCCTTGGTGGCCGTGACCGCCACGCCGACGGCCTTGTAGCCATCGGGCGGCGTCGGGAGCCAGAAGAAGCCCGCGCCATCGTCCTGGCCGCTGGACCAGACAAGGGCGTAGTCCAGCGGCGGGGCAAGGAGCGCCCCGGTGCCGGACGCGTCCCGGGCGACGAGGACGTGGCCGAAGAGCGGCCGGTTGTTGGGCTGCGCGTAGTGTCCGAGCGCGTGGAATCCGGCCGGGACAGGCGCCGGCTTGAAGAAGGTGGCGCCGAGGCCGTCTTGGCCGCCCTGCGTGGTGGACCAGACCTTGGCGAAGGTGGTGACTTGGCGCACCTCCATGCCTCCCAGGTCGATGCTGCCCTTTGCGAATCCTCCATCTGAGGCTGGAACAGCAATGCATGCCAGCGGTCAACCAAAATGTTTCAGAGTGCACAAAACCATGCTAATGAAAGTTCGGACTAGTTAGTTAAACACAATAGTAAGTGCAAGAACTCAACATGTGGTGGGATTTTGAGGCCGATTTATACGACTACATTTTTTGCGGGAATATACGACTAGCTAATTGTAAGAAGTACTCTTATATGACATCTAAACAAATTGTGGAATACTGAATTCATGGACTACATTTTTTTTGCCGGAGTACTGAATTATGCTCTTATATGACATCTAAACAAATTGTGGATATGATCGGCATATTTGTGTCCGGCACACAAATTTGTAAGTCGTAATAATTAACCAATAACAGAAAACAGAAATTACACACTAATGTTATTCTGAATGAAGACAAGGCATAACGTCCAAAACATGTTGATGTGATCGATGGGTCAGGAATATGCTCCTGGCTTGCGTGTACTCCCTCCATTTCACAATATAGTGCTTCCTCTATCCCCGTGCTTCAACTTTGACTATAAATTTAACTATCAAGACCGATTGCGGCGGGAGCAAAAATTATATCAGTGAATTCGTATTCAAAAGAAGTTTTCAATTATATAGTTTTTTTCTTCCCCCGCAGTTGGTCTCGTTGGTTAAATTTATGGTCAAAGTTGGACCTCGGGAAGCGTGGGTGCACTATATTTTGGAATGAAGGGAGTATTATCCATATTCTCGCCAACTTGATCACGTACTCTATGTCGTAATGAGTTTACATTAATACTATAGAGCAATTTTGTTCACTTCGTAGTTTCAGCCAAAGCTAGCATCCTCGACATGCCTAAATTAGTCCGCTTCTTAACTACTATTTCATGAGAAGAAGAGCAAAAAGACATGGCATGAACATGCAAACGTACCGGACGAGGGCCACGACGGCTTCACCGCAGGAAGATCAAAATCCCTCTCCACGGGCAGCGCCGCCGTGCTCATGGGCACACAGCCGAACCACGACCTGCCCCTCTGCATTGCCGGCCACCGACGAGGACAGCAACGACGAGGATGACGACGGCGGCGGGAGGATCGAGAAACCTAGGCCGAGCGAGGCTGGCTTGCTTGCTCGAGGCGTGCACGGGTCGTCTGATCTCGATCCCTAGCTCGATCGAGAAACCTAGGCCGAGCGAGGCTGGCTTGCTTGCTCGAGGCGTGCACGAAGCGAACGCCAATGGCGTGCCTTTAAATGGGTGGCTCTTGGCAGGGAGTCTGCCTACCTGTCCCTTTCGGCGCCGGCTTGGCAAAGACCGCTGGCTTATTGGCTACGTACCTGTGCTACCCCTGTCTAAGAAACTATGCATAGACACAGTGGCTGTCCGTGGCCTGTGGTTACTTGCAAGTAAGCAGGGTGCTTTTATTGCCGATGACTTCACTTCTCGTAGCCCGGCCTGGCTTTCGCTCTGGCCTTGCTTTGCTTTGCTGGCCTTGAGTACGAGCATCTCCAATAGCCGCGCTAAACTAGCCCCGCGTCGCAAATTAGGTTGTTTTAGCGCGCGCAACGCGGTGGGTCGCTTCAGCGGGCGCGCAAAAACGGCGCGCGCGCTATAACGGGTTGGGCGCGGTGTATTTCGGGCGCCCGCTGCAGCGCGCGGCACACTCCAGCGCTCGCGCCCGCACTTCCTCTCCCACTTCCACCCCCCGTCCGGCCGCACCGCCGCCGCCGCTCGCGCCCTCCGGCGACCGTTCAGGCTTCCCCGGCCTATCCCCGCGCGCCCGCGCTTCCGCCCCATCCCCTCCTAGTCCCGCCGGCGCTCGCGCGCCTCCGTCGTCCGAGGAACAGCGCCCGAGCGCTCGCTGCCGCGCCGCGCCCGCAAGGTGTTTGACAAAACGCCTACAAGGTATGTATTGCTCAAACTTCATGAATTTGATGCATGTTTTGAATTGTAGTTTTTATAGTATAGTATTGAACATTGTAGATGAGTTCGTCGTATGATTCTTCCGAAGAAGAATTTGATATGGAAGAGGAGGAGGATCTTGCAATGATCCTAGCTATGCATATAAAAAAAACCAAAGCACGGTGATTCGGTTATGGGTCGGCAGAAAATTTGGAGGGATGGGATCGATGCCCACAACAGATTGATCAGGCATTATTTTGCGGAGAATCCCATATACCCCGAGTCGTATTTTCGTCGCCGGTTTACGATGAGCACCGAGTTGTTCAGGCGCATTGCAGAGAAACTAGCGAGCCATGACCGTTTTTTTCAGCAAAGGAGGAATGCCGCCGGAGAGCTCGGGCATAGCACCTTTCAGAAGGTGACAGCCGCTTTACGTATGTTGGCATACGGTATACCGGCTGATCTTGTTGATGATCACTTGGCTATGGGTGAGAGCCAAGCCATCATGTGTGTCAAGCGCTTTGCAGTGGGAATTGTGCAAGTGTTTGGCGAGGAGTATTTGAGATCTCCCAATGCTGAAGACATCGCAAGGCTATTGGCGATGAACAAAGCTCGCGGTTTTCTTGGCATGCTTGGCTTAATAGATTGCATGTATTGGAGTTGGAAGAATTGTCCAAAGGCATGGCATGGACAATTCCACGGCCAAAAAAGGGTTCCACTATAATCCTTGAAGCGGTGGCCGATCAGGAGACTTGGATTTGGCATGCGTTCTTTGGAATGCCTGGATCTTTGAATGACATCAATGTTGTCAACCGGTCACCACTGATGAATAAGATTGCAAACGGTGAGTTGCCACCGGTGCAGTTTGTAGTAAATGGCCGTACGTACAACTATGGATATTATCTAGTGGATGGCATCTATCCAAAGTGGCAAACCTTCATGAAGCCGTTGAAAAAGCTGGAAGGTAAGAAAAATCTTGACTTCCACAATGCTCATGCGGCGGCTAGAAAAGATGTGGAGAGAGCATTTGGGATTTTGCAAGCCCAATTTGCTATTGTGAGAGGACCGGCTAGATTTTGGGATCAAAAAATGCTTTGATACATCATGCACGCTTGTGTGATCATGCACAACATGATCATCGAGAATGAGCGTGGCCAAGATTTAGACTACTCACAGTATGAGCTCTTGGGATATCCCGTGCGAGTGCGACGAAGGGCTGAAAGGGTAGCCCGTTTTATTGCCTCCTATCATGCCATTCGGCGTCCCGCAACGCACAATGAACTTCAGAATGATTTGATTGCAGAGTGGTGGGCATGGCATGGACGACAAAGAGCATGATGATATCTGCATTCGACACTGTATTGTTCATGAACTATCTGTTGTGTTTATTGCATTTGTTGTACTGAACGATAAACTATTTGTTTGAGTTGTAATGGTAACGAAATTGAACTATTTATTGTTGATTTATTTTGTTTGTTTGATCATTTTTGCTCATAATACATGTATATGTGGTCGCGTGCTGTATTTTTGCGCTCTGCTGGAGCGGCGCGCGCGCGCTGCATTATAACGCGGCTGCTGGAGCCAGCGCAGGCGGGCGCGCTAAACCAGCCGAAACGCGCGTGGCAAACATGTTTTTTGTACGCGGCACTTAGCGCGGCTGTTGGATATGCTCTAAGTATGGCTTGGCTTGACGGCTCTTCCACCCCCGGGAGAACACAAGTCTGCTCTGGTCTCATCCATTATCCATCTCATCATCTGCATCAAGACACCAACCTCACTTTCCATGCGTGCATACAAGGTGCGTTGTTTAGTGTTTCGTGCCCGTCTGGACTACCGGCCCGGACGTGTGTTAGTTGGAGACCAGCCAGCGTACAAGGGATCGTTGGACGTGGAGAGACTATAAATAAAACGTGCGGCAAAAAGCCACCATCCGCCGCTAGGTACGGGATATGAGCTGCATTGTAGTAGTAAGTAGTAAGACAAACACATGCATCGATCTCGACAAGAAGGCGGAGACTTAATATGCCACATTATTGCAACATGCGCGTAGTGGTTGGCATGACGACAGGGCGGCCACGGCCGGGCCTTCGTCGAGGGATGGTTTGGAATAAGAAAGACGTTCATGCTCTGCGTGTTGGTTTGTTTAGTTGGTTCACACACCAATCACGCGGGGCAGCTGACCAATTATCAGCCGGGTATTCGGGGATGAACGAGCCTTGTCTCCCAGTGGGACTGTGCAAGCGTTCACATTCATGGGGGCAGCCTGCAGTTTAGTTTGTAGTAGTAGTAGTTCCTAGGTGGAGAAAAAAGTAGCCAAATAACTCGCGAGAATATGCGACTAGAACATCCATTTCCGACTTTGTCCTGGCATTGATTTCAATGGATGAACCGTTCGTGTGCTCCTGTCAGGGCTGAAGAAATTAGAAGGGGGGCGGGCCAGGAAGCATTCCACGCACGATAATGAAAATGCACTATTACTAACTTACAACGTGGTGAATTTTTGAAAATGAAATGATGAAATGTGGCCCCGTAAACTTTGGTGCAAAAGTATGAGAGACACGTATCCGGAGGATAGAGGGGTGGCGGGCAAAACCTAGCCGCCGACGTCATGACGGGCAAGCTTTATGCCGCAATTACTTTCCTATTCTCAGCGGAAGCAGAGACGAATATGGAAATCCCAGAAATGGAAATGGAAGTAGATATTGTCAGAACTGAATACAAAACAAATACTGTGCAGATACACACGTATGTGAAACAAAAAGTATGCCAGAATTTTAAAACCTGCTCGAACAATACAGAAAAGCGCAACCAAGAGTGTTGCATTGAAAATAGTAATAGTAGTGAAAATTTTAAAATTTTGGTCAAGCATTCCTAGGGGAGAAAATACTTTTTACTTAAGATACTGTAGATCACTTCAAATCTCTTCTTCTGTATGCAAAGAAACCTCAAGTGAAAAGATAGGTAACTTTGACTATGCAGACAAGGACGAAAATTAGCCACTACTTCTCCAAATTATATACATATATATGAACTTGCGTTCACTTTCGATGAACCTCCAACAGTTTCGACCAGAATAAAACACCTGTGCTGCTCATACTGATCTCCGTTCTGAGGAGACTGGTTCTTCTGCTGTAATAAGATGAAATAAGATAGTTCCTCCTCATGTCTCATACCTCAGCTATAAATGTGTTTCCTGTCAGTGCTCAAATGGAAGTTCTGCAGAGAGAAATTGCAAATTTTCCCAATGAAATAAGCAATGCAGTATTTTCTACAACGATTTCACATCAAGTGTTTGTGGTAAAAATTCTTACCACGGCCTACAAAAGAATGGACCGTTTGTGATCCTCAAGTAAAATTGGCATCCCCATATTCCAGCAACTCTTCGCTCGAGTTGACCATGTACCCATGTAAATAGGAAACAATCTACCCATGTACGTACTAACTATGGAGCTTAACAAATGATTCAACAAGTGGATTTACAAGCTCAGGTGCTTCATCCTGCAAGGACAAATACAAACAAGTGAGACAGATGTTACTTGATGCATACAGATGGTTACTAAAATGCTAGATTACAGTACAAAAATATTCGACTAAACCCAGCTTCTGATAGAGCACCTGAGGGCAGTGTCCAACATTCGGGAGGACAACAAAATCTTCGACAGCATCAAAAGACCCGTAGGCTCTTCCAAGTTCCACAGGCTCCCATGGATCCTTCTCTCCCCAAGCTACCAAAACTGGACACTGCACAATCCAAAACAAAACCTTATATACTAACAAAATCGAAAGAAACGGTCAATCACACAACTGGGGAATCCTAACCTTCACCATGGGAAGTAAGTCTTCAGGTAGAGGACCTCCAGAATAGCAGATGAACTCAAGGAATACATCCACAGCACCGGGATCAAGCCCTGGCTGCAAGATCATCTGAACCAATTCATCTGTGACAGCGGATGTGTCATGGTAACACTGGAATTTCAGCAGAATTCGAAAAAAAGCAAAGATAGAGAAAATAAGTCCCAATGTAAGTGAAATATCCAAGCAAACTTTAAATAACTAAAACAGAAAAGGTTGATAAAATAAGTTCCAATGTAAGTGAAACTATCCAAGCGAACTTGAAATAAGTAAAACAGAAAATCACAT